AAAGAAGAAATTTTGGACTTGCAGAATCACAACCGGAGATAGATGACGCTTATGAAGAAATGCTAGCGGAACTTGCGCAGGATGCTGCTTCGCCCGGAAGCGGTGATGAACGACCTTCTTTTCCTACCACCACCAACGGAAATTCCTCCGAACCTTCAAGGATTTATGAGATTTGTTAGAGATAATACATAGACTAACATGTAACTTGTATTTTGGCACATCTTCCTTAGTTTTTTCCTTTTAATGGTGGTATTAGTATCTTGCTGTGCTCATTCCATTAGGGGGAGGAAGACTAAGAAAGATATTGTCATTCTTTGTTAATGTCGTANAGACAAACAAAAACACTATTCGGTTCTTTCAAGGATGACTCGAGATATTTTAGGTGTTCAAGCTTCAACAGTGGCATCGGAGAGCGCATTCAGTCAAGCGAGGCTTCAAATCGGTGATCATAGAGCGTCTATGAGGGAGAGCTTGGAAAAATCAGTACTCTTCAGAGATTGGATCCATTCGGAAAGAAGAAATTTTGGACTTGCAGAATCACAACCGGAGATAGATGANCCACAATACAGCATTAGCAAGAAGAGATGTATTCTCGAATTCGTTCCAGTGTGAACAAATTTTATTGACAGATGTACGTCTATCTATCCCTCTTCAAACACCTATACTGCTGTTAGTAACACGTGTAATTCTATGTCTTCCACTTACTGGACGAAATGGTTAATTCCATCTCCTACTTCCCTCCCTTCCTTTCTCAATTCTCGCTTATGCTTCTCTGCTGCCAAATTCTCTTCCCAAAATTGCTGGATTCTCCCACATTTTTATGTCACATTAGAGGAAAACAATGAAAATAAATGGTTGTGCATAAGGCCAATAGACGATGGCGGTAACCACGCTGCTCCAATCGAGAATTCATTCAAGCATGAGTTGAATGGAGTTCGTTTTGGAGCTCGAGGCACTGGGCTGCTCCAACTGATTGAGACTTCTCATCTCCAAAGTATCGCATAATTTTGGGTTGATTTTCTTCTTTGTTATGGTGAATGACTTTATTTGTTTTGCTTTTGCTTTGTGTTTGTTGGCTTAGCCATCGTTCGCATATCTATTTTGATTTGCACATGCATGTGCATGATTCTGTATATTTGATGAACACAAATATGATATTTTGGGTACAAAATATAATTTCTATCGCATACTGATGCACAATATGCACCCAATGTGTTTGATGATATGACTGCAACAATTGAATAGTAATTTTATTTTCTCTTTGACAGGTAGACCAGGAGTTTACCTGTATCTTATTCATGCATGTTTCATGATCAATGCAATTGATACTAGGTATAACAAAAATTTGTCTTTGTATATGATTAACCAATCCCTAATGTAAAATTCTGTCCAAAGATCTTTAGTACATGTTGCGTCCCGTGCTTGGATGATAATTTAATGTAGGTGTTAGCTTCTTGGAGCTTCAACCTTCTGAAATTGCAGCGGCAATGGCATTGTCTGTCTCGGTCTTTCGAGAAAAAAGCAGGCAAAAGACATTGAAAGGCCAATACAGTTACCTTACTTCTTCACATAAGTACAAGTTGTACAAGACGAACTTTTTAATTTCCTTTGCTTTGATTCTTGAGGTATTGGCTTATTCTTTAATTTATTTTTGGAATTAATCACCCATTGATTAATATTATTCTATTTTATGTTTATTATTATTTATGATTAAATATTTAATAGTTACAATGGTACTTCCTTGCCTCTATGTTATTATTTTGTTGGGGGATTCATTGATGTATGCTCTGAGTCTCTGAGGACAAGAAAGGTCATTGATTTAGTAAGATATTCGCCTTTGTTTCTATTCTCTTCATACATGCAGGATTTTTAGAGTAGTTGTATATTTCTGTGTATGATAATTTGGAAAGTGAAAAAGAAAAAAAAAGTAATAGAAATGGGCAGAGAAAGTGGAATTCTTTTTTTTTTTCTCTCTCTCTCTGTTGATCAGCAGATGAATTGAACTAACTCAAAAAAAATTATTTAATATTTGACTATTGAACCAACCTATTTTTAGGATAGAACAGTATGATCAAGTGATATTTATTCTAAAAGAGAACCACATTACTTATCAATCAGATATAAAATATTTGTATTGGGGAACTACAAATTTTGACAAAATCACGAAGAAAATAAAATTCGAACTTGATAAGCTGGAAAATGATTGAAATGAAAAAGGAAACGAACAAGGGTTGAAAGAAAACGGCAGTTCCCCATCCACTTCTCTTTCTTTTATTCATTGCTTTAAATTAGTCAAATAGTAGTATTTTGAGCTCTATTCATCAATCTCATAATCAAATATCGTAAATAGCACTGAAAAGCTCACATCTCAAGCCTGTGAAGTTTCATGAAATTATAACTTGAAGAATCAATATTTCCCTGCCAACAATAGCTAGGTTTTTTTAATAAATTATGGTTAGTCTTTATGAGAAAATTACTTTTTGAACTGAAGTTTTATACAATAGAATCACTCTTATACCAATACCAATCAAGTTCTTTACAGAAACAAATAGCTCACTTGAGAAAAGGAAAATAATAGGATACAATAAATCATAAGAGTCCAGGCCTCGCAAATAGGGGTTTTAACTATGCGTTACATTTTCTCTTTTTTTATTTTTTGATTAATTTTAGTTATATTCTCTCTGGATATCATATGGCTGTTATTTCATGATATCATATGTTTCTTGTGTCATTACACTTTTGATGCTAAAGTAGAATTTTTTGTGGTGTTATTGTAAAGTGGCAAAAAGTGCTGCCTACAGGACTACCTCGGGATCTCGGTGGACTGAAGGCTAGCTCCCAAGCTACTGCTGCTGACCCAGTGCTGCTCCGGTATCTACACATAAGTGCAGAGTGTAGCATTAGCACAACCGACCCCATGTGCTGGTAAGTGCCTGGCGTAACCCCGACGAGGTAGTGACGAGGCTAGGACCAGACTCCAGATAAACCTGTGCAATTATATATATATATATACACACAATGGGAAAGAAATATAGAAATAAACAAATAAAGATAGGAGGGGGAAACATGCTTCGGGGAATAATAGGTAAAATAGAATATCAAGAGAATTATAAAGGAATCAAAATCAACCACTAACAAGAATGAGGAAAAACAAAGACAGATTTCAGTTTCTTTTCACATCTAGTTGCAGGTGTGCAACCCGATTCCGATTCCTGTATCTCGTGGCAGGCGTGCCACCCCTCCCATTTCATTGTATCTCATGGTAGGCGTACCAAACCGCTCCCATTTCATTATATCTTTTGGTAGGCATACCACCTGCTCCCATTTCATCATATGTTGTGGTAGGCGTACCACCCGTTCCCATTTCATCATATCTTGTGGTAGGCGTACCACCCACTCCCATTTCATTATATCTTGTGGTAGGCGTACCACCCTCTCACATTTCATTATATCTTGTGGTAGGCGTACCGCCCGCTCCCACTTACAAGCCAACAATAATCACAGGGAATCCAGGCAAGGGAACAAGAGCAATATAGCAACTTCCCGGCAAGGGAACAATGATATTTCAACATCCCGACAAGGGAACAATACTATCAAAACAAACATCCCGGCAAAGGAACAATAATATCGACCAAACATCCCGACAAAGGAACAATTGTGATAATAACATATGAAGCGAAATAAACCACAACGGAGTCATAACAATTATAATACAAGACTCACGGGCATGCTTTGACACCAACGTATAGATACTCGTCACCTTGCCTATACGTCATACTCCATAATTAGCATGTAGCAAATAAACACAACTCCTAATCCCTCAAGCTAAGGTTAGACCAAACACTTATCTCGATGCCTCAGACACAACTCAAGGTTCAATTATAGCTTTACCCCTTGATTCCGCCGCCAATATCGCTCGTATATAGCCACAAGTTATTTAATTACATCAATAAACACTAAATGAATCAATTTGAATGCATGAAAAATGATTTTTCCAAAGTTTTTACCCAAAAAGTCAAAATTGCCCCCGGGACCACGTGGTCAAAACTCGAGGTTCGAACCAAAACCTGATTACTCATTTCCCCACGAGCTCAAATATGTATTTTATTTTGAAATCGGACCTCAAATCGAGGTCCAAATCCCTAATATGTTATGAAAAACCTAGGTTCTACCCAAAACACCCAATTTCCCCCAAGAAAATCATTGATTTAAAATTGAAACCATGTTAAAAGATGTTAATGATTGAAGAAAACTAGTTAAAAATGACTTACAATTGATTTGGAGAAGAAGGGTTGTTTGAAAATCGCCTCTTATGTTTTTGGGGTTTTGAAAAATGCAAAATAACTGAAAATCTCGTCTATTTATACCCCTATCAGAACCCCTGTGCAAACCGCACAAAATGGACTGCGGCCGCATAGGCCTTCCTGAAGTACTACGGTCCAGTGCCCTGTGCGGACCGCACGAAATGGACTACGGCCGCACAGGCCTCCACCGCAGACCGTAAAGGCCTCCATCGCGCGCCGCACAAAACCAACCGCGGACCGCACTGGTGGGTTCAGAGACCTGCAACTTCTAGTTTTAAGTCTAAAACATCGCAAAACCTACCGGAAGCTCACCTGAGCGCTCGGAACTCCAAACCAAGTGTGCACACTAACTCAAAAACATCATATGGACCTACTCGTGCGATCACATCATCAAAATAACATGTAAAATCATGAATTAAACCTAAAAACTCAATATTTTCATCAAGAACTCTCAAAGTTCATAACTCCTCAACCGGAAGTCCAATTCACGTCAATTAAACTCCATTTTCACCAAATTTCACAGAAACGTCTTAAATCATATATAAGACCTATACCGGGCGCCTGAACCAAAATACGGGCCCGATACCATCATGCTCTAAGCAAATTTCATTTCAATTTTCCTTAAACAATTTCAGAAAATAATTTCCTTTAAAAATTCATTTCTCGGGCTTGGGACCTCGGAATTCGATTCCGGGCATACGCCCAAGTCCCATATTTTCCTACGGATCCTCCGGGACCGTCAAATCATGGGTTCGGGTCCGTTTATCCAAAACGTTGACCGAAGCCAAATTTATTCATTTTATAGTCAAAACTTATTTTTCACAAATTTTTCACATTTAAGCTTTCCGGCTACGTGTCCGGACTGCGCACGCAAATTGAGGTGGTGTTAAGGGAGGTTTTTAAGGCTTTGAAACGTAGAATTTCATTACAACACAAGTGATGACCTTTTGGGTCATCACATTCTCCACCTCTAAAACAACCATTCGTCCTCGAACGGACAGAAGAAGGAAGTACCTGAGTCGGGAAAAAAAATGGGGATAACAGCTCCGTATATCAGACTCTTACTCCCAGGTCGATGCCTTAGGAGGATGACCTCTCCATTGAACACGAACAAAAGGAAGACTCTTCGACCTCAACTGATGAACCTGCCGGTCTAGAATAGCTACCGGCTCCTCCTCATAAGACAAGTCCTTGTCCAACTGGACATTACTTAAATCTAACACGTGGGATGGATCGCCATGATACTTCCGTAGCATAGACACATGAAATACTGGATGCACGACTGATAAGCTCGGCGGCAATGCAAGTCTATAAGCCACCTCTCCCACTCGATCAAGAATCTCAAACGGACCAATGAACCTAGGGCTAAGCTTTCCCTTCTTCCCAAATCTCATCACGCCCTTATAGGCGACACTCGGAGCAATACCCGCTCACCGACCATAAAAGCCCTATCTCAAACTTTGCGGTCTGCATAATTCTTTTGCCTGGACTGAGCTGTACGAAGCCTATCCTGAATATTCCTGACCTTGTCCAAGGCCTCCTGAACCAGATCCGTACCCAACAACCGAGCCTCTCCCGGCTAAAACCATCCGACCGGAGACCGACACCTCCTACCATATAAAGCCTCATAAGGAGCCATCTGGATACTTGACTGGTAGCTATTATAGTAGGCAAACTCTACTAGAGGCAAAAACTGATCCCACGAGCATCCAAAGTCAATGACACAAGCTCAGAGCATATCTTCCAAATCTGAATAGTCCACTCGGACTGCCCGTCCCTCTAAGGATGGAATATTGTACTCAACTCAACCTGGGTGCCCAACTCTCACTGAACTGCTCTCCAGAAACGCGAGGTAAAATGCGTACCTCAGTCCGAAATGATAGATACAGGCACACTATGAAGATGAACAATCTCCCGGATATAGATCTCAGCTAACCTCTCGGATGAATAGGAAACTGCCACAGGAATGAAATGCGCTGACTTGGTCAGCCTGTCAACAATGAGCCATACTGCGTCGAACTTCCTCCGAGTCTGTGGGAGTTCAACAATGAAATCCATAGGGATCCGCTCCCACTTCTACTCGGGAAGCTCAATCCTCTGAAATAAACCACCAGGCCTATGATGCTCGTACTTAACCTGCTGACAAGTCAAACACCGAGCTACATATACAACGATATCCTTCTTCATTCTATGCCACCAACAATGCTGCCGCAAATCCTGATACATCTTCGCGGCACCCAGATGAATAGAGTACCAGGAGCTATGGGCCTCCTCTAAAATCAACTCTTAGAGCCCATCCACATTAGTCACACAAACTCGACCCTGCAATCTCAAAACTTCATCATCATCTAAGTTAA